TGGCTGGCTGCTGCCCGCGAACGGGCGCACGCTTCGCGGACGTTGCCGATCCGCGTTTTAAAATTCGCCTGCCTCAGACAATTTCTCAAGACATATCACATTAATACAAAATAAAGTCAACCTCGCAAGCCACCTCGGCATTTTCTGTTTACAAAAAACCAGCGCCGTTGTTTACATTGGCTCATCGGGAGGGGAGGAAGTGGGGCAGGCGGCAGGGTCCTGGCCGGTGCAAGGTGATCTTGGCCCGGTGAATGGTGACTGGTGAGGTGCATGGTGCACTGCGTACGGTGTATGAATCGGTGGATGTACAAACCTAAAAAGTCCATTTTCTGGCGAGCTCTGAAGTTCATAAGAAATCTTGTATTCTAGGGTTTATCAGATGATGGGTTTGTTAGGTTTTAGCATTGATTGATACGTATGTTCCACCGGGCCCCGGAGGCGTGCGCGGAGTCCAACTGATAAATACACCGGGTTCCCGGAATGAACATTGAATTGCCGTGGTTCCTGTAAACACTCGCGCCTCTTCGGTTGCCATGTTTATCACCTGCGTGGATAACATTCGGATGAAAAGTTTTTCGAAAATATGACGGAGAGAGGTGAATCTAAGAGTTCTTTAAAGGACCAACATACATAGAGGGCAAGGGATGGATCAGGGGAGGCGTAAGCCCCCCCCCCTCCGCCCGAATAAAGGAGGGAGAAAAAGGGGGAAAAAGAAGGAACGGAGGAAAGAGGGAGGAGGGACGCTTGTGTTTGGTAATTTTCAGGACGAAACTGACTCAAAAATGCATGTCGGATGTTTTGAAATTTTGAAAATTTTCTGGGGTGCCCCGGCCATCCCCCTTTACGCTTGAGGGTCTCCCTACGCGGAGGAAGGGCTCCAAATGTTTTAAATCCCTGAAAATCTCGAACATGCCGATATTTTTGTTCTGAAAAATTTGTCGAGTCCGCGGAAAGGAGATTTAGAACCCCGTGAATCTCCCTCTTCCCTTCGGCTATGCCACTGTTTCTTCCCCTCTCTGGACTACCGAGAGAAGCGGAATAATTGAAAGGTAGAATTTATTTCCTCCGAATGGAACACGGCCAGGAAAAACATATTTGCTACCCGACGGTAAGGCAATAGATGCATGATAAAAGTGAGTAATGTCACGCTGGAGACAACAAGTAGTCTGATTCATCATGTGAGAAATGCTCGGGGCCGTTGTCCCGATCAGTGGCGAAGCATGAATGATCGATTATCGATACCTGACCATTTGAAGCTATGGTAAACAATCGATCATTAAGGTATTCGTTGCAAGCACCCTATTTATCGATCCTTCCCCATGGGTTTAAATGGCAGATCAATCGATTTATCGCAAAGCACGCCACGCCGCTTTTCGATGTTATCTTGTGCATCATTAGAATGGTAAGGAGGAAGATGAAGGGTCATCGATCATGATCTGTCGATCGGGCCGCTTCGATAGCCCCGGACGATTTTCATATGGACGTGTTTAGGCTACAAGGAACTATGTTACACGCAAACCCTATACACTTAGTTCCTTTTAGCATAAATACGTCCATATCGTCCACAATTACACGATGAAAGCGAGTCTCCGGACCTCTGCAGGATCTCGAATTCCGACTGTAGGGGGAGCGGCGTGGCGATCGTCCCTTTGGGTTTGAGACAAATAGAGCCCCTTTCGATTCTCTTCCTCTTGGTGACAGGTGAAAAGTTCCCACCAGTGGTGTGGTGTATGTTGCGATATATTGATTGATCCACCATTTAAACCTATGATAAAGGATCGATAAACAGGGTTTCGCGGCGAACGCCTATATAATCGATTATTTACCATAGCTTCAAATGAGGAAATATCGATAATCCGTTGTTCGCGTCTCGCCACTGGTGGAAAATTTGACTTTTGGAGTTTTACTCCGTTAATACTGGAATGGGTCAGTTACAACAAGGAAGTACATGCAGCAAAGTGAGTAGCCTGTTCTGGGTAAAATCGCTCGAAATTTACTTTGGGCATATCAGATATTTCTAGAAAACAACACTCCTTTACCGCACTTACCTAAATTTACCGCATCCGCTACCACCTTCCGTCGCTCCTATGGCGTAAGGGTGTATCTTGATTTTCGCATGAGCCCTGCAAAGCACGGAGTAATATGGATAGTAGGGCCCGTCTAAAAATAGAGATTCGTCCTTGAGTCAGAAGTGCTATGTTTTTTTTCAAAAGACGGTCACACAGTGCACACAACACAGCGCGATTTTTTTTTTGGTCATCAAGAATCAGGGTTTTCCAAGGCGAGAAAAACAAGAAAATCTAGTTTGAATGAGGAGACGGCTTCGCGAATTGTTCTAAACCATTTTTTCGTACGATTTTAGCGGATTTCAAACCTTTATCTTCTCCTTAGAATGAAAAAAGGCTAAAAGAAAATGTTTTAAAATGTTGAAATCAGACAAAAAACAAACATTGTGCGTTTAGAAGTAGATTTGGGAAGGTTTCGACTCGCTCAATGCAATTTTCATGTGATTTTAGCCGTAACAAATCTTCTCAGTTCGATGTATCTTCAGTGTCTAAAGGGCCCATCTGCCCCCAAATTGCCGCTCCTCTCTGACGTTAGGACAAATCACAATTTCTACGTGAGCCTTGTTTTACGTATAAACACTATAAACCCATGCTTCCTTGAGCTCACGTTAAAATGGAGGTACGCCCTTACGCCTGAGGAGCGATAAGATAACGAAAATGTTGAAAGAGAAATCAAACTTGGCATTTCTAAAACCCCTTCATTCAACGAAGGTGGAAATCCACCGTTCAAGTCATGACGTCATGTTTTTAACGTCATGACGTTATGATCAAGCGATCCACCAAGTTCTGATGAAGCCCAGCTGAACTTTCGGTGGCAAACTGGAGGCGATTTCATCAATTGAGTCGTGAAGGGGGGGGGGATCNGGGGGGCTAAAGACGTTGGAGATACTAAAGCGGTTGATGCCCGGGCGGCAATTAAAGCAGATTGTTTCAACATGATGCAGACGTCTAGAGCAGCGCTTCATGCAAAACTCCCGATTCGCCCACGTCAACGGCCATCGATGCCGAATTTGCACCGGAAACGCGGAGTGAGAGCCTCGATCCAGCATCAAAAATCGAATTCAAATTGAAGTGAATATGGGTTATTATTGTAACTAGAATTTTTATGTACGGCCGAGTGCCCATTTACACTAGCCTCACGAAAGTATTAGGAGGTGCCATCAGCTGCTCGATTTTTGGATGTATATCAAATGACCTTGATCGATATTGAATGACCTTGATCGATATCGAATGACTTTGATCGATATCGAATGACCTTGATCGATGAAAAGCATTGCTAATATAGGGATCTATCGATCAGGATCATTCGACAACGATTCAAAAATGGACCCGCAGGTATTGCTAAGGTTGGTCATGGCATTCTTCGTTGTGAAACCACTATGTCATCGCATCGTGGTCTTTCAGACAGGGTAACAAGTTTTTCTGGGTTTCAAAATTACCTGATTTTTCAGGGGTTGCGAACAGAGACAAGAGACCCTCCACTGGTCTCTTGGTAACAGGTGGAAGCTTTTACTTTCGGGGATTTAACAGTTCCTTATGCACAATGATAAAGGAGCAACCGTCATCACCTTAATTTCGGCTGTTGACCCACCTACATGGTGGATGATGAACTTCGGGTGACGTCATGAACCAAACAAGTTTCCCAAACTTCTGCCATTTTCGGCTTGTTAGCAGAACGAAACTGACAACATGTTGTTAAACATCAACCATGTAGGTAAGTCAACAGTAGAATGCTGAAGTCCCGAAAGTAAAAGCTTCCACCATGGCCAAGATACTAGTGGAGGGTCTCTTGTCTCTGGTTGCGAACGTATGATTCCTTGTCGGATATTTTTCTAACCACACAATTAAAAAATGGCAAAGTTTCTTCTTTGTCCTGCAAACCCGTCAGTTTGCAGGAGGAGGGCGATATTGTTCCTTCGCCATCGATACCCCATCGAATGTGTCGATTATGTTCTCGGAAATTGCCACCGCTCGCCCGGCGCATATTAGAGATAGCGGCAACAGCGTGGATGAGCGCTAGGATTATAATTGAAATTAATTTGCCGCTCGCATGATGCCTGTTAAGGAGCGACTGATCAGTCGGGTGCATTCAACCCATGGCCGGGGAAGGAGGAAAGCGTCGAGGGCCGAAATGAGGAGGAAAGAGCAAAAAACTGAGAACAGGAGCTCGGCTTTGTTTCTGACATCGCGGCCGTGTGCGGAAGATGGACTCAAATTATGCGGGCTCCCACGATTTACGGTTGCGCCCGTCACTCGCGGTGAAATTCGCCTTCTGTGCAAAAAAAAAACAAAGAAAAAAAACACGTTTTGGACTCTTCTCAACGTAGGATTCACCGATAATATACGCGAGTAGAATGGAGAGGCTTAGAGGACAAGGCGAATGAAAACAGTTTTTGCTATTTCGATAAATACGTGTTTGAAGTTCTGAAATTACATGAATCCTTATGGCGAAAAGAAAGTTCGAACTGTCTTTTTGATGCATAAAAAATGGAATTTTTGAGAAAATTTTTCACGGAACATGCTTTAAGAATAGTTTTTTTTTTAAATTGTTATTAACGCATTTGTTTTTTTAAAAAAAACTGCACTTATGCGCCTTGCTCTTCAAGTCCCTCAATTGTAAAATGAACTGACACGATGATCCACAACACTGCTAAAAATTTTGAGGTGAAATTCTGTGCCGGAGGTCCACCATAATTTCATCAAATAACGCGGTAACTTGATTTTCGCAAAATTCTCGCCATTTTCCTTCCCTGCCTTGAGCATGCCCGACAAAAGCGTCAAGATAAAAAGTTGACCAATTTATTTTAAGCAGAAATACTTCAGAATCGGAAATTTTGGAACACTGTCATTAAGATAAGTGTCTTTCGAGCAAGGTCAGTTATCGATATCTTCCGAAACGTGAATGGTTTTGTTCTAAAATTCTTCTAGAAATGTGTAAACTTTGCGTGTGTGTGAGTTATACTCACTGTTTCCATTGAGACTCCTCCGTCTGTGTACACACATCAGAGCGGCCCCACTTAAAAAATAATGTGAAGTACATTGAGGCAAAATCAACATCGCCGTGAGAGAGATAAGAGGATCAACGAAAATTGAGATAATTTAGAAATATCTCAGTGCTGCGTTCCAATGAGTGTAATCTTTGACTTTTTTGTCCCGCTGATCCCGCTGTAGGTAATCTGTGAAAGTTTCAGTTAAACCGTTCTCTTCATTTTCACAAATCCGGATTCAAAAATTAGTGGTGAAAAAATAGTGAAAACGTGTTAAAACTCTTTTGTGACAAAGTATTCTACGTAGCCACAATTCATCGTATGAACGGATGTGAATATTCCAGTAGTGCGAGTTTCTTTGTGCTCAAACAACTGTCATTGACTACCCAAGCGATTGAAAAACTTAACATTTCAAATTTGATCTTCGTTATTTTTGAGACTAATTTAAACATTTTTTGAGGGAAGTATTAACTGCCATCATTCGCTTCAGTGTGTACCGTATTTATACAACTGACTCTCAAAAAACAGACGTGGTAATGAAGGACTCTACTTCGTTTGCTCATTAAAGTATAAATATTAATCGACAAAGTATATGTATTGCCATGATCTTCAAGATTCGGACGAGGTCTCATTGATAATCTCAAAAATTTTAGAAAGATTGTTTATAATCAGAGCCACATACATATTTTGCTTTCCAAAATAAACGACTACTTTTTGCCGTGAAGAAAATCACCAGTTTCTTCTATTGAGAATATTAACATTTTTAGCCTTAAAGTTCAATTTACGATTCCGACGACTTTCATTGTGACACATATCCAATTTTGTCTATTGCCATATCTTATATGAATCAAAACATGTCCGTGTTGGAGAAATTGACTTCAGAAATATTTCCAAAACTGGCAGCAGAGGGAAAATTTGGTCGCAACATTCTTAGGTTTGTAAAATTCAAACCTGATGAAAAGTTTCAGGCAGTAGATCATTTTGCGTCAAGTATCTACTTTGGTGATGTAATATTGGCAACTAAGAACAGAAAATACGTGGCTCAAAGTGTTGTGATCAAGGCTCAAACCGGTGGTAAGCTCAACGAAATAGCAGATAAGCTCTCGTATAACCTCCAGCTTTACAACGAGGTCTTATTCTACACCGAAATCCTACCTCTGCTCAGGAGGTGCGACCCTGACGACACGGTTACAAAATTATTCCCAAAATGTTTTTACGCTCATGCGGTGAAAGATGATCCGGGCAGCGGTATCCTGGTTTTTGAGAACTTACAAAAACAGGGTTTCAGACTGTCACCGTGGAAAACCTTCAACGACTTCAAACACATCGAGCTCACCCTCACGTGGCTCGGTAAGTTCCACGCTTTGTCTCTGGTGTGCAAGAAAAACTACCCTGAAAAATTCAGGAGCGTCATCAATAAAATATTAGAGCCTCATTGGACCGAAAAGAGACTCAAGAACCCTGATGATTTCTTCAAGGAAAACTGCAAGCGCGGAATTCTGCCTCTGAGAGATGACCCGAACTACAACCACAAGGTAGACGATTTGCTGGCCCTCGTGGAGAATGTTGACCCGGCTGTCGCTAAAATGATCTCCCCGATCGAGCCCTCAGCCGTGATCACTCACGGGGATTTCAACAGGAACAACATTTTCTACAAGTACGACTCTAATAACGAGCCTTGTGAAGTTAAGTTTATCGACTGGGTCACCATACGCTACGCATCACCGGTTATAGATCTCACATACTACTTGTTCATTAACTCCTCTCCGGCGGTCCAGGCCGAACATTGGGTCGACATCCTGACGATCTACCACTCGGCGGTAACGTCCAACCCCTATCTCGACCCTGAATTCAAACTGTGCTTCATCGAGCTTCAGATAGATATACGACGGCGGGGCTTCTTCGGGTACGTTTGGGCGAGTTGGTATCTGCCGATGATGATGTCGCTCGAATCGGAAGCGAATGACGATTGGTTCAAGTTGACGGTGGACGAACTCATCAAGTGCCGACTTGCTGCTGGAGGTGAGAAGGCAACTATGCTAGTTACACAACTTGTTAGACACATGATAGACCTGAACTTTGATTTTAAGTACGTTTTCGAATCGGAAGTGAATAAAATTGAGCCTCTGAAGATACTGAGGGCCCTGAACCTAGTCTGACCGATTTGGGATGGAAGTAAGGAATAGAAATAGGGCCTTACTTGAATGGCATGGAGAGGTTTGGAAAAGCAGATAGATGTGCGATAACTTAGGACTCCTTCATCATCTAGCACGTTTTCTGTCTATCTATCTATCTATCTATCTATCTATTTATCTATCTATCTATCTATCTATCTATCTCCTCATCTATTATCTTCTTTGACTTTCCCAAATTCTTTTTCTTTTTCTTCTATTTTCACACTTTTTTCTTTCTCCGTCTTCTTAAAAATCCTTAACTTTCGCACATGTATTTGTTTCCAAAACTCCCCATTAAGGTATGCATATGTATGGAATGTATAACCCTAATACTAAAACTAATACTAAAATATTGGGGGGCATACTTACATGGAGGTAGTGCTAAGTAGTTTCATCCGACTGTGGCGAGCTTTTACGGGTTTAGAAGTCCCGACTTTGTTAGACAGGGGGGATTGAATTGGAGGGAAAAGGTAGGTACATGAAGGTACGTTGAAAAATGAAGAGGTGCGTGAGAGTAGGAGGGGTTGCATTGTCACAAACTTTCATTTAAGAATGAATTTATTTGCTCGTGGAACATTTGCAAATTAAAATATTCCGATTGGACACCTTTGCTCATTTTTTTTAAATTTTTCTTTAAAATTTGTGTGGTATAACATCCACTTGTTATAAACAGAAGTCAGGTGGATCCATGAAACTTTCCAATTTAGTTAAGTATCTCTGACCCTCGGCCCCTATTTAGTTGTACAAATTGATTAATTAAGCATTATTTTCTTTTACTTGATGTTTTTTTTACATTAGTGTTTTAAGTTTACATTTTATAAAGATCTAGGAATAAATCTACATGTTTCCTCAATTTTTGTCCATCAATCGTACAGTGTAGTGTCCAAGTGTCCCACGGTGGTACGGTGTGCCAGTAGTGTGGGTGATCCACATGATAACATGCTTGATAGATGCTTCATGCCATGGTATCTTGAAATAGTATATCAATGCTCAAAGCGCGAAACCACATATCTCCGTTTGTGCGACATAGAAGACTTGGCGTCATACTTTATTTTTTCTTTGGAAAACTAGCCAACGTAGTTTCTTAAAAATGGTCTTGATTTTTCGTCTCTGTTAGTAGAATAATCTGTATAAAATTGCAGCTATAAAGCTGCCTTTTTTTTCTCCTTTAAAACATAAAATAAAGGCAAAATATAAGAGCAGCAGTTTTGAAACACCGTAATGAAGATCCGTGGTTTTGCACTTTGGCCATTAATATTCGGCCACCAATCGTTAAAGTCTCGAGTATAACCACTTTTGCTCTTTGAATGGCATCGGTGGGACTGTCGAAATTTTGGAGGACTTCGTTGATGTTGAAAGAGGAAAATTTTATAAATGATCGACAAGCACCATTGTTTGAAGAGAGGACAGCTCCACTCAAAAACGTCAAGCGCATTAAATTTAGTGAAGGGAAATTAATATTTTGCTAAACGAGAAAAAGATAAAGGGAACTCATGAAAATTGAGATAAAATGAAAACATTGAAGTAAATATTTGGCTTAAGCAAGCGGAGGTAGTGGAATGTTGTGATCTTCTTTCGTCAGCTTCCATGTGTTTTGAAGACATTGCAATGTAACTTCTCCTCTCAGTTTAAAATAAGTCTTTAATCAAATTTTGTTGATGAAAAACAATGACTAAAGGTTTGTGGTACAGCATTCAGTAGAGTGCTAATTGCTTAAAGAGGACAGGTTGAGTGGATCCCATTTTTTATTTGCGTTAAAACAATTTTCAGATAAGTTTGATTGATTTGGAGTGTTTCAGGGCCGGATTTAGGGGGTGGCCGCGGCCCATGGCGGCAAATTAATAAGGGGCAGCAAAATTTACACATTTTTTTTAAATGAAGGTATAAAAAAAAAAAAAAAAATCGGATGCAGAAAAAAAATACAAACGAGGAAAGGCGATAAAATCTCTCATTTCCTGAGAATATGGTAGGTGATACAAGAGATAGCACCTTTAATTAGTCGAGTTAAGAGAGAAATCAAACACCGAAAACACGCAATTTGGCCTGGAACGGCGCAGCGCAGAGAGCAATGATGACAAAGGACTTGAGATGAAAAGGAGAAGCCCTCGGCGCAGCGGTCGGCATGTAACACATATTAGCGCCTACATAACTGCATGAATACTTCACGCATTGCGTCACACACAGTGCGGTCATCAGCGGTCGGCGTGAAACGCATAGCGCCTACAAGACTGCATGAATACTTCACGCATTGCGTCGAACACAACACTGCGATCAGCAGCGGTCGACGCGACGAGAAACGCATAGCGCCTACAAGACTGTGGGAATACATCATGCATTGCGCCAAACACACGGTGCGGTCAGCGCGACACAGCGCTGCGGCGGCGGCGGAAGTTAAGATCATTAAACCACATTTATGTTTGTTCTTTTACAATTTTTTCGTTTATTTCATATAAATAGAAGGCCGTGTCCACACAGAGATAGGTTTACGGAACTTACTTTCGCGCGAAGTTTCATGAATTTTTGGTAGCAGTGTTGACAGGGCTTTCGCAAAAAAGGTGTCCAACCCGCGTAAACACGTCTTATGCACCCCTCCCCTGTTCGTTTTTATTGATGTTTCAAAACGAATGAGAAGGGGACGGCAAAATACAGGCGGCCCATAGGCGGCAAGTAGGTGAATCCGGCCCTGAGTGCTTTAAATATCAATCAAAATTTCTAAAAAAAAATAGATCTGAGATAGGTACTTTAAAGCAAGTTAATTAATAAATAATTGCATATTTTTCAAACTTAACTGTAGTGTTAAGTGTCTAGCTGACTTCTCAAACGTTCCCTTGCTGATAAAATATTATTTCCTGCCTGGGCAAAAATAGGTACGGGTTGTTGGATGAAATGGAAATTTCAAAATAATTGTGGTACTTGCGTTACTGACCCAAATGCCACGGTATTTTACCACTTTACACGGTACCAAATTTCATAAAAAATATTATCTTGATATTTCACTTGAAATATTTCACAAAATTTCAGAAATTTATGAAAAACATCGAGAAAAACCGGCTCCTTTTCATTGTTTCGCGAAATTAAAAAATTGTGACCTTCTTCTATTTTTTTATGTCTGAGCGCGGGTTGCAAACTGTAGCCGCTGAAAACTATGAAATATTTCACAGCCTCGTGAAATTTCAAATCATTCATTTCTTCCCTACGTTTCATGCCACCCTGATCACCATCAGACCCAGTGCTCTTACTTTCTCTACACGGTTTCTTCGTTTTCCGATGTTTGTTGCATATCGTACCTTGCTTGTTGTTTATTCTGTTATCACTGCAGTCTCATTTACCAATTTCACTATGTAACGCCGTTTGCTGGTTTTTATTTTAATTTCTTTTTTATTTTTAATTCTTTTTTAGCAGTTGATAATGGTGCCGCAAGGTACCGAAACGTCCTGCCTTTATATTTTGTATTTTAGCCTTGTTTCCGCTTTTTCCTGTGTTTTCGAT